TATTTTACTAATGCCTTCCGGAAGGTATGTATTGGCAACTAGTTACCTTGAGGGTCAAAAATTAACACAATTTGTAGGCAGTATATCAAATTCCAACACAAGACGAGGACACCACCACAAACAGCGCATATACTTTACAACGCCTCTTTTATCAGCTGCAGTCATCTTCTGCAGCTGTGAGTACCAACGAACTCACCAAGTCTTTTGGCTGGGATACAAAGCAGATTTTTGAACAGCAAGATGTTCAAGAGCTTTCTAGGAAACTGATGGAGGTTATGGAAAAGAGAATGAAGGGAACTGAAGCTGAGAATGTTCTCCCTAAATTGTTTTGCGGAAAAGTGCGAACCTACATCTCTTGCATCAATGTCGACTACGAATCTCGCCGAGTAGAAGATTTTTGGGACGTCCAATTGAATGTTAGCGGTAACAAGGACATTGAAGCGAGTTTCCGGGATTATATTCAAGTCGAGACAATGGATGGCGACAACCAATACTTCGCAGGTGAAAACTACAAACTTCAAGATGCGAAGAAAGGTGTCATCTTCGAATCATTTCCCGAAGTGCTTCATTTGCAGCTCAAGAGATTCGAATATGATATTGAGCGAGATTCCATGATGAAGGTCAATGATCGTTACGAATTTCCAGATACTTTTGATGCCGCACCATATCTATCAGATGACGCAGATAGATCCGAATCTTGGATTTATAAGCTGCACGGGGTCCTTGTACACAGCGGCGACCTCAATGCAGGACATTATTATGCATTCATCAAGCCTGAAAAGGATGGGTGGTTCTACAAATATGATGATGATAAAGTAACAAAAGCCACAATGCGAGAAGTCTTGGAGGATAATTATGGAGGAGAGATGCCCCTTTTGAATGGTCAAGTTTACGATGCATCGCAAAAACCTATCATACGACATAACAGCGCATACATGCTTGTTTACATTCGCGAGGCAAGACTCGATGAGGTATTGCTCCCCGTAACGAACGCCGATACGCCAGCTCATCTCCGTAAGTCATTACACTCTAGCTTGCCTGGAACTGAACTAACACCACTTAGAAAGAAAACTCGAAGAGGAGGCCGCTTTCAAAGAAGCACGACGGAAGGAACGTGAAGAACAGCACTTGTACCTTACTGTTAGGGTGATTACCCAGGAGACTTACGCAGCTCATGGTGGCCATGATCTTACAGTTTTTGATCGAAGTCATGACGAAGATCCTGCGGCTGCTAAATCCTATAAACTCCTCAAGAAGTGTACTATTAGAGAGCTCATCAAAGTGATTGGTAAGGACACTGGGACTGATCCGAGAAGACTACGGGTCTGGTTCATGGTCAATCGTCAAAACAAAACAACAAGACCTGACACGCCTGTTCTGGACTACGATCAAACCATTGAAGAAGCTCACCTGAAATTAGCTGGTAGTAAGACACAGGAGTTGAGGCTTTGGGCCGAAACAGCCGAAACAGTTGATTCTAATGGTGATGCGGTGTGGCCAGCTCATCCGTTGGTGAAAGAAGGGTCGTCTCCAAGTAGATCTGATGAAATTGTCATATTTCTCAAATGGTTCAATGTTGATACCCAGTCTTTGGTTGGATGCGGTCACATTTATATCAGTAGCCAGAGTAAAGTTGAAGAATTGGCCCCGTTCATCTTGAAACGTATGAATTGGCCAGAGGACACTAGATTGAAGCTCTACGAGGTATGATTGGTGCTCTTTACATTTTGTCGTATCTTCTGACATCGCATAGGAGATAAAACCGGACATGATCGAACCTATGAAAGCGAAACAATCACTCAAGGCAGCAGAACTCCAAGATGGCGATATTGTTTGTTTCCAGAGAGCTCCGGAAGGAAGTGGTGGAAGCGAGTGAGTGCCTTAATTGAATATATGAAATGGTGGAATGATGCTAACTGCAGCAGTGGCTCGGATACCACTACTATGGTCTCCAATGGCTTAAACCCAAGCCAGCAGCCTCTCAAATCGTCTGACATCATAGATGATGCGCGACTGTACTACGACTTTCTTCGTCATCGAAGGCTCATTACCTTCCATTGTCATCCAACCAGAGGAAGCAAAGAATTTAATATAGACAATTGCGAATCATTCACTCTGGTATTAAGTGCGAAGCACACTTATGATCAGGTAGCCGTCAAGGTTGGAGAGAAGCTGAATGTGGAACCGACTCACATCAGATTTTGGACTATTGCTTTAAATACAGGTAATCCCAAAACGGCGATCAGGCGCACGTCGAATCACACTCTGGTGAACATGGTCAGCAGTAGTTACGCGTCGTTTGCTGGCACCACCATTAGGTCAGATGCTTTATTTTTCGAGGTCCTTGATATCAGTCTGGCGGAATTGGATACCAAGAAACCTATGAAGGTTAGCTGGATCAGCGAAGGTGTCACAAAAGAAGTAAGCCCGCCTAATTTATTGGTGTAAATCCGGGAAGGGTATTAATTGATCGCAGGAACCACTGGATATACTGGTGCCTAAAACTGGAACTGTGGATGATATAGTGTCCTCGGTGATTAAGAAAGCACGATTAGAAGACGAAGAAAAGGCTGGACCCGTCCGAGTATATGAAACACACAGCAACAAAATTCACAGGGAACTTTCTCGTGGCCATCCAATCAAGGATCTCACGGATTACATTTCGATTATACTAGAGCGAATACCGGAAGAGGAGCTTGCGCAACCGAATGGTAGTCAGTACATTCATGCCTTTCACTTCCACGGTGATCCAACCAAAGCGCACTCAATTCCGTTCAAATTTCTCATCTTCCAAGTAAGTCGCCGTTTTCTTAATCTTGAGGCCTACCACTAACACGTCCAGGATGAAATATTTTCCGACACCAAGAAGCGACTGGAGAAGCGGACTGGTATAAAAGGCAAAAATCTTGAGAAGATCAAATTTGCTATTGTCAAGAGGAGCTCTTACACAAAACCTATATACTTGAATGATGGTGAGTTATGACCTATGACAAATTTATCTGCCCTACTAAACATCTCGCAGACGATACATTATGGGATATGCTTGGGGATGATGACGACCAACTCGGATTAGATCACGTTGATAAGGTACGAAACACAAGGACTGGCATGGGAGACTTGTTCTTGAAGTAGATTTTGGTATTGCTTATGAGAGGTTTTCTGCATGGCGCTATTGGTTGGCGGGAAAATAGGCACAGTCTTTGATAAAGACAGCGCGATGATGTAGACAACGGGCATGGTAGCGAAGTCAGTTTCTTCTAAACAACATAATAGGTCTCCAGAAAACTTCATTCCTAGCGATAAATGATCGAGGACGATGGGAAGACCAATGGTAACTATGATGCAGATATCCTTCCAGTATGATGTTAGCCACTTTGTAACCTAAATAACAAGCGCGAAATTGTTTACTACGATGCCTCACTTGAAATAACCATATGATTATCAAATAGTGAGTGGTAGTGATTGATTGTTGATAGTAGAGTAAAGAATTACACAGGCCACCTGTAGCCCCTGGTTTGGAGGAAAGGAGGAGTTACTCGCTAGATTCACTGCGCCCGAGGATTATCCGACTGACAGATAGCAACATATCTCCAAAAGCGCGTCAATGTCAAGGGTCGATTACTTTTACAACTACACAATAATAAATCATGAAGCCGTCTTTGATCTGGTGTAGCCTTTTGGCATGCATTTCTCCTCTTGTGTCTGCCACTGCCCTCACATACAAGCTTAGCGCCAATGAAAAAGCATGCTTTTACTCCAATGTCGACAAACAAGGTGCCAAAATAGCCTTTTACTTCGCTGTACGATGCGCCTGGCCTCTGATAACTACATGAACATCTCTGACATTTTATATTATACAGGTACAAGCTGGAGGATCTTTTGATGTGGATTATGAGGTTGTAGGTCCAAACGAAAGAGTTATCATGAAGGAAGAGAAAGAGCGACAAGGCGACTTCGTCTTCACTGCCACAGAGGTCGGAGAATACAGGTTTTGCTTCAACAATCAAATGAGTACTTTTGCAGAAAAGTTTGTCGACTTCGAAATCGCCGTACGTTTACACTCCACGCATTGCGAATCCAGAAACTATCACTGACATGTCTATTACTGCTATAGGTTGAGAACGAACCTCGAGCTTCGATACCCTCGAAACAAGGCACAACTCCCGAACAAACGTCTGCATTGGAAGAATCTATCTTTAAGCTCTCCGGCCAGCTCTCTACCATTACCCGAAACCAAAAATACTTCCGCACAAGAGAAAACCGCAACTTCAGCACAGTGAGAAGTACTGAGAGGAGGATTTTCAACTTTAGTGTTATTGAAAGCTTGATGATGATGTGCATGGCTGCGCTACAAGTCTTTATTGTTCGATTCTTCTTCCAGGTACGCATTCCTAACTTCGATATACATAGAGAGATTCTAACGATAGGGATTAGGGTGCCAGAAAGGGTTATGTTTGAACGAATTGGGTCCGGGATAGCTTTGAAGATGATTGAAATGATTCTGGGTCCGAAGAGGAGTTCTGTGTACTAAACACTGGACAAAATTGACGCTCAATATGATTAAAGTCAAGTTAATTGATTGTATTACTCCATCCCTATGTCTATTAGAAGCATGTGTGAATTAATTCATAGTCTCCAAAACCTTATCTAAACACACAAGACTTTTGAACATTTCGACAGTACTAGATAGGTAAGCTATCGTACCAATTTAGCTAGATATACAAGTCAATCAAGTATCATTTATCATTTTTACAATTCATTAGCTACTTATTAGGCATTATATATATTGGATTTTATAAGCTCTGCTCTATCTCACATACATGTATAAACTAGTGTCGATTGGGTTAGCGTGACGTAGCATGGATGAGAATCGCGACAATTTGACATTTATCGATTCACGATAGGCACAAGCTTGTAAAACCAATTCAATCTCGTGTTTTTGTATCTTCCAAACCACTTCAACACGATCAAATCCTGCCTGTCTACTTATTATCGCATCAATGGCAGCTTCTTTATCACGGGCATTGCCAAAACCAAAATATACAGGTGAAGAAGAGGATATTCCACAACATGCGCAACAGAGAGGCCCTCGAATCCTAGGCGCAGGCGCTTTGGATGATACCCAAATTGTGTTAAAGGTTGGTCTTTCAGATCTTAAACAATTAGAGGTTTCTTCTAACAATACATCACGTTCACAGAAGACCGGACCTCCACCATATGGTAATCGAACAGGATGGCGGCCACGAGGACAAGAAGACTTTGGCGATGGAGGTGCTTTCCCAGAAATTCCAGTTGCACAGTATCCTTTAGATATGGGACGCAAATCTACTTCATCGAATAATGCGCTGGCTCTTCAAGTCGATGGCGAGGGGAAAGTCAAGTACGATGCCATAGCACGGCAAGGCCATAATGATAAACGAATAGTACACGCCTCTTTCAAGGACCTTATACCTCTTCGACAACGAGCTGATGCCGGCGATATTAATTTAGATAGACCAAGTGAAGAAGAGGTTGCCGCTTCTACCGAGCGAACGAAGAATGCCTTGGCAACTCTGGTCAGCGGTGCGGTAGCTGCACAAAAACCTAAGAACGTAAATGTCGGAGCAAGAAAGGACCCTACTTATGTCAGATATACCCCAGCGAATCAGATGGGGGATAACTCTAGGAAAAATGATCGAATCATGAAGATTGTGGAAAGGCAGCAGGATCCTATGGAGCCTCCCAAATTCAAGCATAAGAAGATTCCCCGGGGTCCTCCAAGCCCTCCGGCTCCGGTCATGCATTCGCCTCCACGAAAATTGACTGCAGAGGATCAAGAAGCTTGGAAAATTCCACCTCCTGTGTCGAACTGGAAAAATCCTAAGGGTTATACGGTTCCACTTGACAAAAGATTGGCTGCAGATGGACGAGGATTACAGGACGTCACTATTAATGATAAATTCGCACAGTTTGCAGAAGCTCTCTTCACGGCAGATAGGCACGCACGAGAAGAAGTCAAGCAGAGAGCATTAATGCAACAAAGGCTAGCAGAGAAAGAGAAGGCACAAAAAGAAGATCATCTTCGCATGTTAGCACAGAAGGCACGAGAAGAGAGGGCTGGAGCCGGCGCTGGCTCCCGAAGGCGAGACTCGAGATCGTCAAGATCTCGTTCTGGAAGCTATAGTGAATCCGAGTCTGATCGATCCAACAGCGACGATGAAGAATTCAGAGAGCGAGAAAAAATGCGCCAAGAGAAACGAAGAGATGAAGAACGAAAATTACGACAGTCGCGCATGGGCACGGAGAGGAGGATTCAAATGATGGCGCGAGAGCAGAATCGAGATATCTCAGAAAAGGTCGCTTTAGGCTTAGCAAAACCTACACAATCAACCGAAACTATGTTTGATTCTAGATTATTCAATCGGACAAGTGGGTTTGATAGTGGATTCAACGAGGATCAAGCCTATGATAAACCTCTTTTTGCGGCTCAAGATGCTATTAGTAGCATTTATCGACCACGGCAAAATATGGATGACGATGATGATGAAGCAGCAGCTGAAGGTGAGATGGCGAAGATTCAGAAAAGTAATAGGTTCGCGGATGCCCTTGGAAAGGGAACCTTTCAAGGTGCAGCAGATGTTGAGGTAAGAAATTTCCCCTTGGTCACGAGTGGGGATGAAGCTAATTTGAGGGGTGAACAGGCGAGGGAGGGACCGGTGCAGTTTGAAAAGGATGCTGGCGATGTTTTCAATGTCGATGATTTCCTGAGCAAGGTCGGTGAAAGTTCTAATAAAAGAGAGTATGGGTTACAGGAAGGCGAGGGAAGGTCCAACAAGCGGGCGAGAGTGGATGAGGACGATGATTAAATGGATAGACAATCATGGGAATGCATGGAAAACGTTGTATTTATAGATAATCTATAGGATTGGGGCAATCCGTGTATAAAGCATGGCCAGACATTCGTACATTGTCAAATGAGTGTCCGTTTCTAATTGATTCTAAATTGTCTTTTTGTGTTTTATTTTGCACCTTTTGGTAAAGAATTGACGAATCTACTTTCTCAATAATAAGAATTCCAAGCACATCGGTCTGTGATACTACAGCATGCAAAAACTCTCAGAAGTGATACATCATCCAATTTTGAGTAGTCAATATTAACAGATGTGTTAGCCCAACTTCAAGCGGACGATGTTCGTATATAATGAATTCTTGCTCATATACCCCAAATCTCCCAACTACATCCAAACTTTCATCCACACATCGATGGGATGGAGGACTTTTATCATACAGAATCCGAAATCCTTGCATTGAAGCATTGATGTACCCATACGATTTTCTCTACTATACTGCACAGACTTACGTATCTCTAATTTACATTTCACCGTAGAATCAGTTACTGAGTAACATTATACGCGTGTTTTCTAAATCGTTATAACGCTTTTTCTATCTCCAAAAATAGTGGATAATTAGTCGTTGGCCTCGGAATGTCACTAGTGAAAGGGTTGAACTCTTGATTACGCGGCTTTCGACGACGACAATTTTTGAAAGGTACGACGACTTTCTTCTTGGCTTTTGATGCATGCTCTTTTTTTTGGATCTTGTAAATTATAGGAGTTCTGGGTTGGGAAGGGCGAGGAGGCTGGGAAGGTAGAGATTAGAGCTTTATTACTGAGAAGTCTACTACTGGCGAGTGCTTCTGAGCAAGCGTGAAGAAGGTTTGTGGTGATGGATACATTTCAAGAGAAGATCTGCCGGTGTAAACTCAATGATATATGGCAGCCGGTAGTTCGATAGCAAGCAGGGTATCTCTCTTGAAGTGGTACGTACATACATACAGCCACTTCCCAACCAGCTGGTTCAATTAACAGTAATTCTTCCTTTTCTCCTTCTTTGCCCTCCCTGCCCTGCTCACTCTGTCGGACTTGTACCTGCCCAGACTTTTCACAACTCACTAAAAATAGGGTCTGGAGCTAGAGCTAGAACCACACCAAAACTGGACCTACTCCATACAACTGAAGAAAAAAACTCGATTAGATCTTTGCTTATCTGAATTATCAAGGGAAAACAAAGTATTCATTCGTATTGTATCTCGGACTTCAAGCTCAATTGAAGTGTGAGCTGTCATTTCGTCTTTTAGTTGAAACAATATCCAATATTCATCCCGACTTATGTTCTCTATCAACCTTTATATTGGCCGAACGAACTTGATGATCTTCGTCTTCCAACATGGCAACATCATGATTCTTGATTGAAGTTCATGAACCCCCACAGCACTCGAGTAGTATGAACAGATAATTCGTCATAGGAGGGGAGAGCCCTGTACTGACTGAGTCTTGACGAGGGAAGGAGTGGATTGACAGGCATTGGGAAGTACCGACTTGTTTGTTGGCGGCACATGTTAGAAAGGTTTGTTATTTTGGGACGGTCGAGACAAGAACAGTTTGGGCGTTGGAGATCAATAACTCTCATATTGAGTTGTGTAGCTGTGATCGATCTTTATCTTACAACACAGTCCATCCGCTAGTTCAGCTTAATTCAAAAGCTAAGTGATATGCTTCTTTCATGGCTTCTTTCCTTTTCGGATCTAATCAACTCAACGTTTCTTACTTCCATCGGATTACTCTTTCTCTAAGCTTTCTAGCTACTCTACAATCTCAAGTTCGTATGTTCGTTCGTTCGTTCGTTCGCTTTGTCCGCGTCGACCCATGCTTTACCACACGAGCCTTGTCAGCCTGCATATCCATCAAACCTTCTTTTCCCAACCATCCTCGCCATCGTATCCCTTCTAGGTACCTGATTGCGACCAAAACACCCTGCCAGGTTGGTACAGGTTACAGGTCCCAAAGTGGAGAGACCGAATTTTCTCACTGGCTCAGCCTACTACGAGTATCTTTCACATCTTTAATCTCCATAATAATCCGGCCTTTTTGGAGTTGGTTAGATAAGACAAAGTAGGCTGTTCGGCCAAGGTATATATACAAGTGTGTCGCCCATTCTGAACTTATTGCGGCTTTTGAATTTTGTATTATTAGAAATCACGCAAGCAAGTCAAGCACATACGAAATAAAAGTAGTTTTTTATTTCCTTCTCTTGGAAACAAAACATTCGGACTGGACGTCGAAGGATCACTTTGGGAATAAAAGGAAGACAAACAATCGTTGGATAGAAAGTCAATATCAGTCGCTACAGTTGGGAAGATGAGAAACACGAATATCCCGTCGGGCTCACCACCCAAATATGAGGTTGATGATCCAAGTTCCTTGGCACCAAGATGGTGGGATATGAGAGCGTGGAGTAAGAAGAAGTGGGCGATTTTTGGTGCGGGAATCATCGCATTGATCATTATCATCGTGGTGGCTGCTGTGGAAGGTTCAAAAAAGAATGCTTATCCAGATTATTCACAGTTGAACTATACACTGAAGGATACTTGTAAGTTGTCTTCTTTTGTGTGATGCTGCACACCCAACAACTTCGAATGCACCAACACTTCTGATATCCGAGAAGCAAGGCTTCCCTATCACCTCCAGGTGGATTTAGCGGTGATTGTTCTAGACCTATCTCTATGATTTTGTGACTAGAGATTGAACGAGATGGCCCTGACATAGTGTATTTTGCTAACATCCACCAAAGACTCAGGGACTGACTTTTTCGATAACTTCGATTACTTCAATACCTACGATCCATCAGCCGGTTTCGTTCATTATGTTGATTCCGAAGTTGCTGCTCAATACAATTTGACATATGCTTCATCAAGTTCTGCAGTTCTCAGGGTCGACACATCTGTTACAGCTGACAGTAGCCCAGATGCATCTACTGGCCGCTTCTCAGTTCGAATTGAGTCCAAGACACAATACACTGACGGTCTATTCATCTTCGATATTGTCCACACACCCATTGGCTGTGCTACATGGCCTGCACTGTGGCTAAGTGATCCAAACAATTGGCCAACAAATGGAGAGATCGATATCATGGAGGCGGTCAACGTTGTGAGCTCTACAAAAAATCAAATGACCCTCCATACTACGTCAGGCTGCTCCATGGATGTCAAGCGCAAAGAGACTGGAAAATCCATTCAATCTTCATGCTTGAATAGCACGAATTCCAATGCTGGATGTGGTGTGTATGACTCTGCAGAAACCTTCGGTGCGGGTTTCAATTCAAATGGAGGTGGAGTTATGGCGATGGAACTACGTACCGCGGGTATTCGAATGTGGCAATTCGGACGAGATGCTATTCCAACCGATATTTCATCTGGTAGCCCAGATCCATCGACTTGGTCGGAAGCTACTGCCGATTTCCCCAGCACGGATTGCAACATTGGCAATCACTTCAAGAATCAAAGTATCATTGTCAACATTGATTTGTGCGGAAGTTGGGCAGGTACCCAAAGTGTATATGATGTTGATTGTACGCTCTTTCCTGACTCCTTTTGATATTTCCATACTAATCATACAATAGGTCCCGGTACTTGCACTGACTACGTCGCTAACAACGCAACGGCATTCACAGATGCTTACTGGCAATTCAATAACTTCACTGTATACCAAGCTTCATGATCTTCGAATTCCAATCTTGGACGGAAATGAAAGTGTGATATTCATGGGAACGGATGTGATATACATGCTTTGAGAGCATATTGGTATTGGAAAAGTTGTTTGACGGGAAACCGCAATTGGGATAGGAATAGAGGGGATTATACCAGGAAAATGGCGTTTTTAGGAGCGCTTCGCGCTATCAGCGATGATATTGTCTTCACGTTGAGGTTAATATGGGATGTCAAATGGGCATTCAAAGCCCGTATAGATAGGTAGCTTATGGAAAACAGTAATGAAGAGAAGTACTATACTCATAATGTGAAATCCCAGGGTACCTAGGGTTGCCCTTGTGTCTAAAGAGCCTAGCAAATTAAATAGACAATGACAGGCTAGCTTAGCCCATAATCCTAATGACATCCTAAAAATCATTAGAATAATAAAATAAATATCTCTTCTAGTCGTCCCCCTTTTCGCGAGACGAAATCTCATAATCTACTTGGCAAGTACTCGGGTACTTGTGCACCACGCGAGGCTTTAGCTGTGCAAGGCCAAACATCAGCCTCGTCAAAAAAATTCTCGGTGGATTACATCTCAAGGAAACCCATCTTTGTATTCTACCTTTTCCCTTGACGAAGAATATCGCAACTACTATCGTTCAAAATGAATGGGCCAGCATTTAATCCTCCAGGAGGGGGCCAGCAGGGCGTTGATCCTTCGACCGCTGCTGCTGTTAAAAATGTATGTCTGCTCTCCGGTTACAATTAGCATTGCTGCATGGAACAAGCAGAGCCTTGTTATGGGAAATTGACAAAGTGAATTGAACGAGAACTAATCATGTCTGATAGATGCAAATGATAATGGAGTCCTGTCCGGGTAAGACTGTCGTCTCGGGTGTGATGGGATTCGCCCTCGGTGGTGCCTTTGGTCTCTTCATGGCATCGGTATGTTTTGCCCCGCCTCCTCTGCTTTTCTTCCTACGTCAATGACTAACCTTCCCACACAGATGCAATACGACACTCCCATTCACACATCCTCCACAGCTGCAGAAATCACATCCCTTCCCTTGCGCGAACAACTCAAACGCGGTCTCAAAGATATGGGTAATCGCTCCTATTCTTCGGCCAAGAATTTCGGCAAAGTAGGCGCTATCTTTGCAGGCACAGAGTGTTGTGTGGAAGGCTTCAGAGCAAAGAATGATCTGAAGAATGGAGTCATTGCAGGATGTATTACCGGAGGAGTGCTGGCGGCGCCGGCGGGACCACAAGCTGCCGCAGTTGGGTGTGCGGGGTTCGCGGCTTTTAGTTTGGCGATTGATAGTTATATGAGAAGGCCGAGTGATGGAGATTAAGGAGATATTTGGAGGGTGAAAGTCGTGGATTGGAACTTTAGATGGAGCGGCTTAGATATGTATAATATGCTGTGAACAGCTTACGCATGGGATTGGAGTTATGGGCAAGCTTGGATGGGCTTAAAGTGGTTATGTTGATATGTCTGTATAGTTATGACCTTGAGATCAATGACTAATTTCACTCCTCACGAGCGTTGGCTTTGGCTTTGCTGGTTCAGTGTTATGTGACGGTTTGAGTCTTTTGTCATATACGTTCGCGAAACCCGGCTGACTTGTTGTGTTTGGTAGAAAACACATGCGAGAAACATTCGGCACAAGCACATATTCAGGAACGAGCTTCGATGTCTGTGTGAGTTCTATTCTTATATCCCGGAGACCCTATGCTTCTTTTGCTAATGTGCAATCAAGCTTTCTCCATACTGATGAGACAAGTATCTATAGAGCGCTAGACTCGCAACCATAATCGGCCAAGCTATCTAGGAATCTATCTAAAATGAATCAAGTATCTATAGAACATCGAGTTTTCAACTATAATCTATCAAGTAATGACAACTTCCGAACAAACATTCTCCATCATCGTAGTAGAGTGAACGCGTTCACACAAGCTACTTGGTGGTGAATTTACCCTTCATTCTAATCCTCTTGCCATAAACATAAAACAAGAACGGAATGGGTATAAGCGCAGTTGCTACGAAACCCAGCACACTGCTTCCCCACTCAATACCCAAGCCCTGAAACATGGGAGTAACAAGCAGGGGAAACAAGGCAGCAAAGATGGCTCGTACAAATGTTTGGGCTGCAACCGCACTTGCTGCACATGAGGAGAAAGTGTCGATGAGGTAGTTGAGCGCAGATTGGAAAATGGTAAAGAAGCCAAATCCCATGAATATGAGGCCAATGCATGGAGCTACCCAATGGATGCTTGGGGCGGATGTCCAGCCGAAGATGAAGAGGCCTGCTGCGAAGAATATACTGCCGATCATCATGGGAGGGAGGCGAGCTTCGGGGACGGGTTGGTTATCATTTGCTTCAAACTTGCGGGTATAGAACTTGTTGTTGCTGGGGTTTGTTGGTTAGTAGATATGGTTTGGAAATACATCAACAACTTACAGAATGTTTGCAGTGCCACCGAAGATTGTACCCAGGAGAAGTGCAAGAAATGGAAGTCTGTTGTGAGTCAAGAGATTAGCACAACATCTGCTATATGGTTATTGTCCAGTCGGGGGCAAACTTACTCTGAAGTTACGGGTCCATAACCTCTAGCCAATGCAAATTGGACAGGAATCGCAGCCAGGCACCTAGCAATCCATCAGTGCATGCTCACAAACAATCCTCGGTTCTGACTTACAAGTAGAGAATGCCATAAACAAACGAAGCATATAAAACCATGAGAAAACAGATTGGGGTCCACAGTAAACGAAAGGGTCGCATCAAGAACTTATTGCCATCTCTCTAAAGCTGAAACTGCGCTCTTCGTGTCTAGCATGTAGAGCCCAGTTTCCAGTATCGTGACGGAGACGACGTGCCTTGGCGACCAGGAGTGCGTCTGGATAGGTTTCGTTGAGGACAAGAGCACCAAGGAGTAAGACTGCCATTTGCATGATTCCGGTTATCTTTGGAGGAGGAGTTAGGGATAAGAAGTACATATTTTGAGGGCTGGAGGCTTACATATTCTGTCCATCTCCATCCTAGATAGCTCGATGTGATGGCTCCTCCCACAATGGGACCTATGGTTGGACCTTGAACTGGTGAGAATGAGAAATATAGGGAGGACGCATGTACTCACCACCAACAACAGCAAATGCATAGCCGACGATAGCTGTTCCTCGCGATTGGGGTGCCCAGATGTCAGATAGAACGCCGCCAGTGTTTGTTACCTAATTATGATGTTAGAGGAGTTGGTTGAGTCCGAGGTGAGGTTTCTTACAGGAGCAGCTCCGAAGATACCAGCAAAGAATCGTGTCAAGAGCAGCGTCTGGATGTCTTTTGCTGTGGCGGAACCGAATGAAAAACATGCCGAGATGAAAACTATTTGATACATTAGCTGTGATACTGCATGGTGAAAGGAGAAGAGTGCAGGCTAAGCTTTTGGCTACTTGCAGAGTAGAGTCACTTACCTGGGGTTAAGACTGCAGCCTTTCTGCCATAACTGATCAGCTGTTAGTACTTGCAACAAACAAATGAATGAATTGGGCAAATTGGGACTGCAGCAATACAGTACAGCACACAAGACTCCCAAGTTGACTTTCGGTAACTCACATTTCAGAAAGAGGAGCCCATAGCAGAGGACCTGCATCACAAAGAATGGTTAGCTTAATTATTCACTTCATACTGGTGAAGGGAAATATCTCACCAAATCCAAATCCTAGCAATAAGAAACTTACACCCAGTAGACTGACCTACTCTTTGTTAATGGCATTCACTTTAGCTTATCATGGCTCCAGGGAAAACAAACCTCAGGAGCAACTCTAAATTCAGTTGCAACTTGGTCAATAGCAGGACTGTATACAGAACTTGCCCAGGTCGAGGTCATGGTAAACAAGCCATAGACAAATGTGGTGATCAGCTTCTTTCTGAATGGCCAATTTAGAGGTTGATACTAATTATTCCTGTCAGCATTGCCACGTTCACAAACTCATGAGCATGAAATGAAGTACTTACAGGATCATCAGCACCATCAAAATCAACAACATCAGCGTCCGTGGTCTTCAAATGCGAATTTGGGTGCGTGAACTTCTGCTGGATGCCGAGACGGGTAAGAGATTGAGAACGGGTGATGCGAGCTGGAGTGGATGGAGCATCTACAACAGGTTGTTTTTTGACTTCTTGTCCTTCAAGATCCAGATCAAGTACAACTACATTCTCGAACCAATGAGTCTCTGAGCCAGAGCTTGAAGTGGAATTGGTAGTTTGCGCCATCTCATCTGCGTTTACGAAGCAAAGAGATGTGCAAAGCAGAGAATTAAAATGAGGAATTGAAAGAAATCGTGGTTCATGAATGTATAAAGCAATCTCGTATGATACATGAGAGAAGAAATCAAGGAGAGTACAAGATTATTTGTTTATAAAGTGAAGCAAAGTTGAACACCCGGGCAGCTACAGAGGTGGCGACTAGGATAAAGTAGATGATGTCGTGAAAACTCACTCCTTCGATAACTCCAAAGGTGAAGAAAAGTTCTAGACAATTTCACATCAATGAGACTTTATCCTTTAGCCCGTTATCGGATAGAGTCCGAAAGGGTGAAGGGGCTTTACATCATCGGATGAATATTTGGGAATTATCAGATGAGACTATAAGGGCGATGTCGGCAACCAGTCAGCTGTACTTCTATTTCATCTACTATGTTGATATGAATATATGTGTGTCTTGTTTCAAACTCTCATGTCATCTGCAGTCAAACGTCATATATTGTGTGGAGGAGTGAATGATACGTAAGATGCATACGGTTCACACAAAATTCTCAATCTTTGATGGTACCAAGAGGGCAAAACGCTCACAACCAAGCCTTACATGTGCAAGATACTGTGGATAGTAGCTACATGTGGGTCCAGAGAGAAGAGCTTTTTGCAATAGGATGACCTTCATTGGTTGTACCAGAGGTCAAATTCTGAGTGTGAAGCACAGCATTTGACATGCATAACATAGAGATCAAATGATCACAATAACGATATCACAACACAAGATTAGGGTTGCATATTTGTTCATGCAAAGTTAGATCCCCCAGGAAAAATTGCTTCATTAACAAATACTGCATTGAAAGCCCAATAGCCATAGTATAATAAAGAGAAAGTGTGGCACAACTTCATCACCTACAAATGCACCTGTCTTGGTCTGTCCACATAATCCTTCCAGGCTTCATCAAAACCAACACTTCTAGCCCACTATATGAAAGGTTAGCACATAAATATAGTTGTATGGAATGGATAACTTCGTGGGGTACGTACAGTATCTCCAGTGTCTTCAACACTGTCAGCTACCATGTTGCCTATCTTTAGCCACATGAAACTCTTAATCTTTGCCCAATCTTGGTCTTCATAACCCTGGCTGACTACCTCGGCATGAGCTACTGTCCTTCCAAGCTTTACGGCGTGGCCATCGTCTTCGAACTCGAACAGCCTGTGAAACAGTCCGCTCCATTCCGCATCTCCAGCTTCAAGAAGCTTCGGGACATATCCCGATATTTCTTCAAGGAGTAGCTCGGGGGAACGGCGGGATGCATACATGGTGAGATCAAAGCGTCCCTTCCACTCCAAAAGCCTTACTTTCTGAGCTTCGGACAAAAAGTCTTGCTTGTTGAAAGAAGTGAAAAAAATCGAACTATTGACACAGTGCATATAGTAAAAGTCAAATTTCACCTAATGGGATGAATGTCAGCTAGGGTACATCTGAGAAGTGTAGTATGACTAACTTGTTTTGGCGGGCGCTGGGCAGCAGCAGCGAAATAAACGGCGGAGCTGATCATTTGAGCTGTCTTGGCTTCAAGTTCACCTTTTCCCACAGTCCACTGAGATGCATAGTTCATCATTTCATCTGCAGCTCTGGCTAAGATGCCATCTCGAATCTTATTGCCATCATCCCACTCAGCAGCGGTGGAAAGCTTTTTGTCATCTCTAATCTCATCCAGAAGTTGTGGAATCGTCTTATTCCCAGGTTGTGCTTTCTTTTCGACGTCCAACAAATACTTAGTAATCCACATATCGTGGACGGAAGCTTGTGCTAGCGCTTCGGCAATGATAGCTGGTTGGTTGAACTCAATACCAAAACCTAGATGAATAAGAGGATGAAGAAACCCTGGTGAGTGTTAGCAATTCCTTAGATACATGCGACTACAATGCTGTATACCTGCAAACATCCTGCCGAGCATGTCGTCTGCCTTTGAATCGCCGGCAAAGACACTTTCTTTCAATACATCCCTCCATCCTTTGATTTCAATCTGTCGCTGCCAGAATACCAGAAAGTCATGATAGTACTTTTGTTTGCCAAGATTGTTGTGGAAATTATCTGGTATGGACATGTCGACCGGGGCCTAGAAACTTCAGAAACTGTGCTATGGGATGTTGGGAATCGAGATGGTAGAAACCATGATTTATGGTAAGTCTGGTTTTAAAAACTAGCAGATTTGGTAGATGGTGAACTTACTTGATTCTCAGCAAGGACAACAGGGCGTTGATATGATGCATTAAGTTTATACTGCCGCTCAATGACGGAAGCCGGAGCACCAAGGCCATATAGAGTCAACAAGTGATGGACGATATGGTTGTGAAATCCTGTCTCATTGAAGAAAATGTGATGTTTCTATAATAAGCAATTGTTAGGACGTGTTCTCAAGACAAAACGAGGCATCTTACATCATGGTTCTCTTGTAGTAGCTGCGAGGCTATTTTGGCAGTTTCCGAATCTTGAGACCCGAACTTGAACACGCCAGTATCGTCAGGAGTAAGGTGAATGGTGTTTGAAGTGGCCATATTGGGAAAATTCTTTGTGTATGTTGATTGAAATCGAATAGTGTGTAGTTTCAATGCAAATAGTCTGCGATCAAATGGTGGTATAAATAGCAAATCAACAAATACCTGTGACTTCCCTCCGCCCTTGATGATTTGGGAGAAAGGGGGTCTAGGCCTGGCGAACATCTAAGACTGATTGAAGTATGATGACGAACTCTCACATGGGTTTACTGTTGAGTTAACACTCCCCATAAGCTGATAGGTCTCGACGGTTTCGACTAAATACTCCAACCTGGCCTTTCGCTTCCCCGCATTACAATGCAATGGAGTGAGTAATAAAATGACGAAAAGATTATCAAGCAAGGGTAACACGATTGGAAATCAACTCGGGATCTCGCTTTGTTGATGGTTTTGCACTCAACTCACTCCTGTAGGCTTCTGCTACTTCTTTCGAGAGACGGGTTCGTGGATTCTCTTGTGAATTTGGTGGCTGCTTGGCTAACCTATATGTAACGGTGATACGTATTTCAAAAGTAGAGAGAGTGTGAGGGTGAGAGTGACAGGCGAAAATAAAAGTAGCTTTAGATGAGAAAGGCCAATCAGCAAAGTACGGGTAAATTTTATTGTGAGAATGGTAGGGTGCCAGTAGATGTATGTGTCTACAAATGCAGAGAAGCAATTGTGCCAAGGTGATGTTGACAGTCAACCTTGTATATCTGCCTAGTACTTTTTGCTTCCTTGAGAGTCATCGAAGACAATTCTACCGGTAAAAGAGTACATGTGTTAGAACTAGCTAGTAGGTCAGGTTATGATGATCTGCACTCTTTGTACTTAACCTCAGCCAACCTTTGTAAGTTGTCAGACAGCAAGGAAGTAAGAAGGCTCGAGCTAGTAGGTAATCGTCAATGCATTGGGTTGTTACTGTGTTTATACGAATATCTATCTAGCTATGAGGGCGTGTCTTTGATGAGTGCTGGGTCTGTGTGCAGGCACATTTCCTCATCAAAATAAGTACAAACTCACCTACTTTGGAATTCAATAGCAACTGAATTAAAAACAATATTTGAAAAATCTTTTTGAATTTGAATGATTTCTTATATCAAGATTTATATATGAATTTGATAAAGTATACTTATCAATATTCATAAAGTTATATGCATTATAAAAATTATATAGTAAATGTTAATGAGTTCGGTTATTTTGCCTGGTCTTCATTAAAGACATGCCTTCGTATAGATACTCTTACTGCCTGAGCCACCTGCCTGAGCCACCTACTGATCAAGTACAGTAGTTGTAAATAGGTACCGCTAATTGGCTTGTTTTTTATCTCGATGACGTAAGTGTAGATAATAAAGTGTGTGTCCCACCACCACACCACTCAGCTTACATAATCCCATGAAACCACGACACCAAGCTTGAGGTAAACCGAATTTCTAATTGCCTTCGAATCCATACCGACTAGCTAACCTCCATAGGTAATCAGATCGCTCAATCATCTATCCATCTATAAGCTCTTGGTACAATACCAACTACCTTTATATCTATCTACATTGTCATACCAATAATCATCCATATATTGATCCCACTGAAGAGTTCGATGATTTCTCTCTGACTACCTACCTACCCATTCGCAATCGTGAAAAGAGGAGGTGTTTCGATATCTGCATTGCTGTCTATCAATTCCTACCTACCTGTCTGCCTATCTAGGTGCTCATCTTGCTGATTCTATATCCAAGCTGTTACTTCTTATATCATTTCTTGTTTCTCTACTTATCCCTTTCTAGGCTTTTATAGGGCATGTTTTGACACCAAATTCATCGCACCATTTTATCCATTTGTCTTGCCTTGTAGTTGGACTACTTTCTTGTTATCTCTCTCATCCTCAACCCTGTATTTTTGGTCTAAATTAGTATCGACATTGCTTCAAGCCTCTTTTACATATCATGTCAACGATCCAACAGAAGGTGGCTACGTGGAGCTCTGTTGCTTTACGGATTGTGACTTATGTCTTTCTCAGAATAATCCCTGGTCATGTAAGTAGATATTTTTGGACTCAAAATTTCAACCACTTACACTTGTTCCCAGCCATGGCCGCCCCTCATATACACTCTTTTTGCACTATATGTGCCCTCCTTCATTTATAGCCATGTAACACAGACACCATATGCTGTAGTAGAAGATGATATCAATATCACCGTTCTAGAGACTGAGCACGAAGACCAGCCGTTCGTATCTGCGGCAGATTCTCAAAGTATATCGGAACCGGACAGACCAAAGCACGTGGAGGAAGAAGTCGAAATAGACGAGACAGTGGTGATGGAAAAGAAATCACCTAGACCCTTCCGTACACTTTTGACAGGCGCGCCTGATCCCATATCAACATTGCTCTCGCTTTTGACCTTCTTGATCAACGTGGGCTTGGTTCTGGCCACAGTAGATCTGGTGTATCATGCGAAAGTTTTTCATCCTAGCAC